GAGAAAGAATACAGTATAACATCCCATTAGTACTTAGAGAAGGTATATCAAATATTGTTGCTATACAGCATCGTCGGTCATAAAATACCTGAGAAAAACAACCTTATTACCCAGGCAGGTGTTACAACGTTGACAAAACAAGACAGACACATTACACCTCCAAAGTGTATCCATCAAATTCACATTACTGAGATTTAAAGTTTCCTTCGGCACTTCCCAACCACAGGAAGCCCTCAAGGTAGGTACTGCATGTTTTTCTAGAGATGAAATGAAGTGACGGTGGAGTATCTCAGTGTTTAAAATACGCTTTTGAAATTGCAAGGGCTGAGACGCATACGTTCCTCAATAAAACGCTCTAACAACCGTGAAGTATTTAGGTTTGGCATTCAGTTTTGTTGCTTCTGTCATTATAAAAATCAGTCTTCTGTTAGCGCCGTTTTAACAATATGCTCTATTTTAAATCTCAGCATATGAATGTATACGGTAATTATACATAATATGTATAATTGATACAGTAAAAACTCCTACAACAAGAGGTTTAATGTAGGGCTGCAAAATAAAATACATTCAAACTTTTGAAAAAACTGAAGACAGACTATGGAAAGGTTGTAATTAAACTACGAACGGGAGATGGACATTTTATTTTAATTTGAGAAACAAGCAAGCAAGAGACTCAATCCGGCAGCTCCCTGCCCAAAAAGCTTAACATGAAGTTGCACAACAGCTCCCAGTTCCTGGTATGTTTGATGGAAGGTGCCCACACCATCCAGGCTACCTCTTCAGCCTGTCAGACTGATTTTCCAGTTAAAAACACCACCACTGTGACTACAATGTAGACCAGATGCATGCACCTGAGAAACAGCACATCAGAAAGATGAGCATCTTCGATATGAAGCAAGTATAACCCAAAAAGGACAGTATGGGTATGTTGTCTGCAGCAGCGATCATTATGGCTAAAGACATACAACAGTGCTCATTCTTCTTGGTACAAGACGACCGAATTTAAGAAACAAATGCACTGCAATCTACAGGCATGGATAAATCATTTAATGAGACTGGAAGCAGGAAAAAAGCTGCCTTCCATCACGCTCCTTCCTCTCCCTCATCACTGGATGACCCTTTACCGCTCAAGTACTTCACTTCATACTGAACAATTTTTTAACCTCCATCCCCAGTGACACACCTCTGCGTAGACAACTCGTATTGCTGCAGCCTGTTCTACTCTGCTTATGGAAAGAAGAGGTACAAGAAAGTGTTGGCAGCAGAACTTCTCTGCAGTGACAAAGACACACATTAATCAAGGAGTTGTATGACCAAGCAGATGCTCATTAGGCTACATATTTTCAGTTGTTGAGCCACAGACATTTATTTTAACTGTAATCCCAACAGTCCCCAAAGCAGCTGTTTTGTAAGAGGTAAAACCCCAAATTCCAAAGACAGAAATGAAAGACACTTATGAAATAACACTCAGCAAATATCCTCCCCGACACACAAGACAGATTCCTTTCTCAGCTTATCTTTGTCCACTGAGGTGGCTTCTCATGGTCTGAACATGTCATCCAGACCTCCCTGAGAAGGCAATTCACCTCCTCCACAGCAAATAAACATAGAGATTTCTTGCAGAACCCACTTGAATGAGGTCGGGGAGGCAATGTCACTCGGTCCGATTCCTTTCTCACCTTGCCTGCATAAGGAAACAGAGCTGGTGGCTTCTCGTGACTCCTACATGCTAGCCTGGATTAAAGTAGCCGAAAATAATTTATGAGACATGAAGAAAGAGTTACGGTTTTTGAAACAGAATACTACCAATATAGAGTCTCTTTGGTTTCACTATATAAACATCTCCGACAGCCAAACAATAACTCTACCTTTTATTTTAGAGCTCAACCCCAAACTGGTAGACTTCGTAACACTCCACACTCCTGCTATTCCCCGAGGTGCTTCTAAGATGATCACTTCGGAGTCAAAGAGTCTATAAAAAGGATGAAGGAAGCTGGGAAATTTCCACAGAGGTGGTGCCAGAAAAACAGAGCTAACATTTTAGCCATCTTTGAGCAAAGCCAGGCTGCACCACTGGAATTCCAACACTGAAGTCCAAGAGCTCCCCCAACTGAGCTCTGGGATGACTGCAATCGCAACCAGAAGATGGGCAATTGCTAAGGTAACTGGAAAGTTCCAGGTCTTCTCAAAGCGGTATTCAGATTTGTTCCTCAGAAGCCAACGCTTGTTCACAGAAGAACTTGAGAACTCATTAACAGAAGGTGCCATAGCAAAGAACAAGGAAAAAATGACTTGGGGAAGTGGCGTACTCTTGCTTTATGCTTAAGGGAACTGCAGGGAGGCCTGCCAAACCAGCAGTGGCATCCTGTCACAATACATCTAGTTTTGTATTACACACTGTCATCCATACAAGAAAACTCAGCAGAACGGGAAAACATTTTGCCCAAAACAGGGTCTGTCCTCAAAATCCTCATTTTTCCTCAACCATGTAAGGTTTATAGAACTAGTTACCATAAAAGAACAACACAAGCACAGAATAGCTGGATAGAGATCCTCTCCTCTTTTTTAAGTGGGGTAAAAGTACCTTTTTCTTAAAAAAACAACAAACAAACAAACAAACCCAAACAAAAACCAACCAGGTGCAGGGCATGTTCCCGGTTTGATTTTTAACCAGCAACAGCTGATCTCCTTTACAAGAAGATTTAATGATTTCTCTTCTCTATTCCAATTATAAGCAGTAGAGACTGAACCCTTCAACAACTGAACCCCTCTTAGGAGAATATTAGGTGTTTCCCAGCATCTCCCCAAAATCCTCAGAAGATTAGACAGAAATAAAAGCTACCAAGAACAACTAAGATGCAATATTTGCCATCTACAATTTTGCATCTACAATTTCCACTTCTTTCCGATTCTTAACCTCTTCACACAAACGTGCTACACAAAGGTGTTTCAGGTTTTACTGTTCACAGGTTTTTTGGTCTGTTTCTCTACTACACAATCTGTATTTCCCACAGAAACAACGGCAAACATATGGAAAAAACACTGTTTAGTAAAGATGAGGCAACAGCTAACAGCTTCATGCAATGAGTTTATCATCCTTATGATATACACAGTATGTGGATATCCACATACTGTATCTACAATACACCAAAAAAAACCAAAACCACCAAAAAAACCCCGCCAAACAAACAAACAAAAAAACCCCTAACAAAACAAAAAACTAAACAGCATAAAAACTAAACACCACCAACTAAACAGCATGAAGTTCCTAAGATGCATGCAAGAAGAAAAACAGTTCAGGCTGGACTACAAATACTTAGTGTATACTTCATTTCACATCTGTTCTCTACCTTTTGCTCACAATGTGAGCATTTGGGGAACAGCCATTCTTTTCATGCTGTAACCAGCTTCTCTTTTCAAGGTAATCTGTTCTTATTTCCACTTTTTGAAAGCAGTAACCCTCTATTTTGGGCTCGGAACAAAAAGCAAGCAGAAGACAGAGGAGACAGAACTGATCAACACGCAGGATGAAAGGAGCGGTCGGAGACAGCCACGATCGCGTGACCCTAACGCAAACCTCAGGTCAGCTGCTCGTACAACTCTTAGAGCAGCCAACTCTCGTGGGCTGACGTGCGGAAACCGCCACGCTAAAGACGACGTCGGCTTTGCTGGTGGTCACTGCACTGTATGGGCAAAGGAGAGTAAGTGCTCTTCGTGTGCTGGTGGCACCACCTCCTGGAGATGCGGACCGAATAAAAACAGTTTTGATGAACTGCATCTGAAGATGAAGGAAAAAACTGACAGTATGTAAAATGAGAGCGTGTCACATTTCATTCCTCATCCAGAGATATGTCTCCTGAGATCAAGCTTGTTTAACAGAGATATTGTAGGAGATTCTGCAAAATCCTTGTGCATCTGCCTGAAAGAGGGAGACTAAGATTCAGGTATGCTGGGGAAACAGATTTTCTGACACATTGGAAAGATTTTTTAAATTCACATTAAGACTATAGCTGAATGTTATAGATTCATCTCCTCCTTGCACTCCTTTGCAAGGCCGTAAAAGAACACTATATCCATTCATTACAGCCTCTCTGCTGTTGGTAGCTTTTATATGCCCGCAGGCACTAACAGCCTGGAGATACGTGGTGCCACTGGGGACTCGTATTGCAGAGACATGGGAGAATGTTGTCTGCCACTGCCAGGGCACAATGACAACAGCTTCACAGTGACATTTAAGATCTAATTTGCACGCAAATGTCAATATTTGTTAGTCACATCAAGATCCTCAGCAAAGCTCTTCTGGGTTGCTAAGTCTCTGTGGTTATACTTTTAAATAGGAGACCTGAGAAAGAAGAGTACTGGTAACTTACTCCGGATTTCCTAGGTTATTAATTTCATCCTTACCTATTGATTCTTTTTGTGGAAAGTTTTTTCCAACCAGTCTATGCATCAACAGTGTTGAAAAATGTTTACTGTTATTCTACGAATTGACCAAGAAAAAGTAACCCTTTGACCTACCTCATCCCTGGAGTTGTAAGCATATTTACATATTTAAATAATGGAAACTTTAAAGTAACAGATGTTTGCTGCCTACAGCACAATGCAAGAAAAACTTGGTCTTTCGCTATTAAAGTGCATCTGAAGCATCCACACATTCCTGTCACCATTTGCCCTCTCAGATTAGTGGGAGTGCTCTCCTGTGCATTAGTTTTCAAAAAGCCTCAACTGTTGAAATCTGTTTTTAATCGTAATGTCAGCAAGTCTCCCTAATTCTGCTACTTCTCTAGAAAGTCGGGAATTAGGCTTCTGAGCAAGTCAGCATGAAAGTACGTAAAATTTGCTTTCAGATGTGGAGTAGAAGAGGAGGGAAAAAAATGGAAAGTGAGAGATTAGGTAAGCCTGATGGAATTAAGGAGACCTGAAGAAAAGAGTATTGCAGTGGTCTCTAAGTAGAGGGACAAAGGTACATAGCCACCATCTATTAGTACTCTACCACTTACCAGGATTTCGGCTCCCCAAAATGCAAGTAGTTGATACTGTAGAGATCCATGTCCTCTGTATGCCAAGCAAATGTTGTCTTCCACATCCCAAAGTAGAGGTACGGAGTGTTTACACCTTCTATGATAATGCCACATTCATGTTCCACCATGTCCAAGAGGGTGTTCAGATTGCCAATATTCCATTCTTCCACATCCTGTAATTCAAAAGAAATGTTTTTTTACTGGAACACATCAGCACTTGCTGTAGCAGAATAACAGACCACAGCTTCCTTTCAATACCTTAAAATGTGGATATCCTAGTGTTGTCTGCATTAATTTAACTCCACCTGCTTCCAGAAAGCTTACTTTTAATGTTCATCAATAACCATGAAAAGGATGCTTTACCACTCCTTTGTGGCAAAGGGATCGATAGCTGGCTTCCCACTGGATGTGTTCCCTGAAGAGGCCCTTGGACTACGTGATACCCTACCACTAAGTTACTGTTCTGCTAATACACACAAGCTGAACTACGGGTAAAATAACACTTCTGTCAATGACATATTCCAACCAGATGTTCTTCATCTGATAAACATGTATCAGCAGATGAGGAACACCGGACTTCAATGTGGCCAAGGTGGCAGAGGCCTCTTCATCAGCTCAGTGCTTCAGATAAAGAATAGGGAAGACAGTTTTGTTATCATCAATATCCAAACAGAAACAGCAATAAGAAGTTCTAAATTCGATTCTGTTTTCTCTACTTCAATATAAAATAGAGAAGTCACCGTAAACCGGTACAAATCTAAGTTTGAGATTGACTCAAGAGTAATAGAATCTCCAAAAGGAAACGAACGGTCTCCTTCACACCCCTTTTTCCCCAGTGTACTTAAAATGCATGCAAGTAATCGATAGGTATGCGAGCAATCCCAGTTTCCCGCTGCTTGCTGGACTAACTGCAAGACAGTGACACTCAAGCTGCTCAATCTTGAAACTTTCTAAATCAACCTGAAATAAAAAATACAACGGGGCAGGGGAGAAAGGGCTGAAGAAAGGAAGCGGCTGAAAAGCGAGATGAAAAGTGAAATGATGCAGAGGGAGAATACAACTCTCACACCTCAATGCCTTCAGCAATGTCAATAATCGGACAATAAGAAATGTTCTTTAGGTGTGACTGGTAATTCAATTATTTAATTTCTGCGTATAGAACTTGAAGGAAACACAACGTACGTTCAGTGCACTGCAGAGGCTACTTCTCCTAAAGCTTGCATTGGTGCCCGGCTGTCACCTTCCCTGATCATACCATGGACAAGAACATTCTACTCTCATCAAAGCACCAAATACTATGGATGACTTTGATGTCCATGGCTGTGAATACCTTAGATATCTATGTTTATTCCCATTAGCTCCATATTAAGCTGTATTGATGATAAAAAGACACTTTTACATTAACGCACAGTTTATACTGCAGACAATCAGACAACACCCCCCAAAAAAAAAAAACCCATCACCCAAAAAACCAGGCCACTTTCCTCTCAAAACTACAGAGGAAGGGCATTGCTTTAGATTAGCTGCCTAAATACAGTAAGAAGAAAAGCAACCTTTATCATTTACAGCAGAAGAAATCACAACAGAATTACTTTAAGCATAGGATGCAATTCCACCAAGAAAAAGCTTAAGCAGCTTGAATTGTAAAATAATTCAGCACACAGGTGCATTGTATCCTAATACAGCTGCCTACAAAGAAAAAAACCTAAATGCAAATATTTCAGTTGTGTCAAGAATCAAAAAAATGCAATAAGGGATGACAAAAAGTATTTCTGATGAAGCACACTATTCCTTGAAATGCTGCTTTTCTGGCTCTCTAAGGTTCTTTAGCAGAAATCTCTATTTTATTCCCTGAAAAACAAACAAAAACAAAACAAAACAAACAAAACACAAATCCCTAGCATGATAGAGATGAGGATCAGTAGCTTGCTTTTAGTTTACCTGCATACCATCACATGTATCTGGGCGTATCATTATGATACCAGTCCAGTTTTCTGTAAGCTATACACAATCTTTGGCCACACACTTCATAAGAACTTGTTTAAACAACTTTTTTCCTCATTTTTCTAGTACAACTAAGCTTTTCTTAGCTTCCATTGACTCGTATTATCCTGAACCTCTAGGGAAGGTGGGAAGATTAGCAAACACTTTTGTAATGAGGGAAAAATAAAGACATTATTTGCCTTTTCTTAAGGTTGCTAAATCAAATAAATACTCATTAAGGAATAGTAATGCAGAAAAGAGCAATATTTAAAATAAAGAGGAGCATTTCACTTACTGCATCATATAACGAGCCACTGATATCAGCCCCATAAATTGGTGAGACAAACGTGAGATTCTTCCAGTACTTGCGCTCCAAGTCTTCAAAATCTTGATGGCGTGGAGTACAATACCTGATAAGAATGTGGAAAAGATAAGGATGTAAGAAGTCCTGAAGAACACTCGTCACAGACATATAAACAACTGAAAAAAAGTATGCATTTCGAAGTATGCACATGCAGGAGGTGACTGAAGGTGCACTTCATTTTTAATTCTACTCAGATTCGTATCATTTACTGCCTTTTAAATCTTTCTACAAAACCTCTGAGCGCATATTGACAAACAGGACGCCGGCTTCTGTGAAGCACCAGATCCCACCTTAAGGCTGCATGAGATGAAGTTATTACACAGGGAGCTGAGGGCAGGTGAAGCACTCATGTATATGCTGTATTAGCAGCATTTCAAAGTTGATTGCACAACCCCAGTATTGCTTGAGTTAAAATCCAAGGTACTCCAGAGCTCTGGGAAAGTGACTCTGGAAAAAGGATGCAACTGCAGTGCATCAGGTGGCTTGTCCCAGCGCAACTGAAACGCTCTGCAAAGTTCCCAGTCACTTTGGAAGACACTCCAAAATACCTGTATTTCTACCTCAGCAACGGAACGCATTTTCCAGAACAACCATTAATACACTGAGAGCTCTTCTTTCAGTCACAAGCCATTCTTTTCAGGCAGATTCTTAGCCAAATACTGACTTTGAAGAATCCTTCTATATCAACTCCCAGAAAAAGATCTAAGATACACCAAAAGCCATCAAGTTACAAATTTGTTTGAGATTCAAGAAAAAGCAGTTTCCTCAAAAATGCTTCCTGTTTAGCAAGGCTACATTTTCTTTTCAGCTTGTTCTAGAAAGAAAAGCTTTCTGCGCAAGTCCCCCACTCCCAATATAAGCGCATCACTTAACACCAACATACTTCTCGCTATTAGCCAGACGCCGGTACTCTCCCACAGTCATGGGTTTCTTCTGTATATTATACTGGGTGAATAACCCCGACTGTCCAGTAACCACCTGCTGAATAGGAGCTGGGATAACCATGTCATCTATGTCATCATAGGTTTTTCGGGGCTTCCATTCCTTGGGAGGAATAACCTGGAATTGGGGAAAAAAGAAAAAAAAAAACACTTCATGTTCACAACAGGAAAAAAAAGCTCTACTGAAGAAACAACTGTGTAAGTGGAAGGTATTTCATGCTGCTGCTGGAGGTTATCAGATAACAGCACATCTCAAATAACCAACACATACAGCACACCTGTCCTGCATCTGCTGAAGTGCACGGCTAGCCGACATGGTTAGAGGGCTAGCAGTCCCATCCGTACAGTGCCACAGAAGACGGCCAGTGATGATAAAAAGATATATAGTTATACTAAGGAAATACGCTGCATGCCAGAAGGCCTGCACATGCTTTCCCTCCAGAACAGCTTTCCTCTCTCACGTACCGTTCCACAAAGCTGAATGAACACTCAGGCAGCTTTATTAATATGTTGCACCTCTACAACTCCATAACCTCTTATAGTAGTTGGAACAACTATCCCATCTGGAAGATCACTTATATTAGGGCTTTATTCAGGGAGTAGGGGGAGGGGGGTTGGCTTGGTTTGTTGTTTTTTTTGGTTTTGTTTTTTTTTTTTTTTAACTAGGAAGGCTCAAAATCCTGTTGCATTATTGTTGCTGACATTTCTGCATTTGTAGGTGACACACTGGAGACCAAGTCCTTAAATTAAAAGGGGTAAAGGGTAGAGAAGAACAAAAGAAAACCGTGGGGAACGTGTCCAGAACTCTTTCTTCACTCTTGGAGGCTGTGCAAAACAACTGCTGCAAAGCAGTATTGAATCAGGAAGAAAAAGCTGTAATTTTAAACAGAAGAGCTGCCAACAATTCTAGGCTCAAGATCAGAGAACAGTCAGTAGGACATTCAGTGGGCATGTGGAATGAAAAAATAAAATATCTGCAATCTAATTTGATGTAAGGATTAACCAAAAAAAGTTACAGGAGCTGGAGGACAAGTTATTGATATTTGTGGGCATGGTTCCTCCAGGACACGATGAGCTCTACTTCCACTACAAGGCTCTGAACTGCAGTTGCAAGAGACACACACAAAAATTAACTTGAAATGATGAGATTTAGTCTTACAAGTACAGTAATTTCTTCACAACATCTGGAATTCACCAACAACCTTTATTAAAATAATCTACCTAGCAGACTCATGGAATGTAATTGCTAGTACACTTGAGTGGACAAGGAAACATTTCCTAGAGAGCTTTTTATCAACAGCCAGCTCTATTTAGAACTGTAATAAAAGCAGTAATTGACCTACATTTTAGAAGAAATAAGAATTATTTCATGCCCAACAGCTTTATTTTGCTGCTGTGCTTTATTAAGTTCTGCTAAGTGCCATATGTAACAACTACCTTGTCAGAACAAATTATCTCTCTCAGCCTATGGTGCAACATGGCATGGCCACAGAAATACTCTTCCTAATCAGTCAGTCCTGATTTTTTCCAAGCAGTTGTATGTCAAGTACTGGAGTTAAAGAAACTTCACGTGAAGAGTTCCCATAATGTTTCAGCAGCTTCAGTTAAAGATGCAGATGGGAAGGAAGCAGAAAGATGTTTCAGAGCTGGCTGGAGAACCGCTTCCTAAAGGTCAAAAAGGCTTTCAACTGTTTTGGGAATCGCACACAGGACAGGTTTACAGGTCTAGATTCAAGTCAGCATAAGGTGGTAGCCCAGAAGATAAAAAAGGTAAAAGTAAGAAGTCAGCACCCATTCATATAGATACGATTTAGGCCCACTTCCCCATCCAAACCTAAGCAGCCTTCAAAAGCCTGATCCTTTACCCTACATTCTGGGGGAGCCGAAAGCCTCACGGTTCCAGCCCTTGAGGACCGTGGCTACCGCTACCTGTATCCTCAGCAACAGCATCAGGACACGGCAACACCCTTAACCCACCTCTGCAAGGACTGGGAATGTCCTTGTCTTCCATGCAGGAATCGGGAAAAGACATCCTGCCAATAAACACTTCTTTCAGTCTTACGAAAGGCTTGTAACTCCTCTCCCTTTCCTCTCTCGGTAAACCAAAACAGAGATTGCAAATACAATTTCCAAAACCACAGTCTCCTTGACTACACGAAAGCAAACTGCTTCCGAGTGACATAACTTCATAGACACCTCACATGAAGCAGAGCCTCGGGAAGGCAGCCTTCAGGAAGCTTTCAACTACCTAAGCTAGGGCAACTCACCTTGGCGAGCCCTGCTCGGTGAGCTCCTTGCGATTCGATGTAAGCAATGTATTTCCCAAAGTCCCGGAACTCCTCAAGGGTGGGACGAAAGGTCATGATCTTACAGCCAGGGTTCTGCGGACTTGGGTTTTCCGACCCCATATTTCTAGCGCGGCGGCAGTGCCTGAAGAGAGGAAACACAAAGGGAGAAAGAAAGAAGAGAGGCAGAAAAAAAATACAGGTTAAAAACTTTTTTCTTTCTACTTGCTTTAGTGAATTCCATAGAAAGGCATGGATATACTTTTCAATTCTCTCCCCTGTTCCCCCAAGAAAGTGTTTGTAAGTACTATCCTCTAACACGGATATGAAGAGCTTCTGACCAAAAATCCACTTAGTCTATCTGTCAGCAGGGCCCCAGGAAGAATCAGGTGTCAGGGAACTCCCGATACCAGTATCATCTGGGAGTTCCGATAGGGCCTACACAGAGATCAGAGACGTAACATCACACTCTCCGTTCATCATGTGAGAGGGCGGCTCATCAGAATGGCGGTCACGAACAAACTTCTCTCTACCTTCAGCATCTATTCCGTGCATGTGTGGAACTAGCTGCCCCTCAAAGTTTTCCACCAGAAGGCTTTATCCTTTTCTATATCTAGGTTCAAGAACAGGCTTGGCCAATGATGATTTTTTTTTTTCCCCATGTGCTAGGCTACATTAAAAATTCTAAAATTAGGGTTTTTTAAAAATGTAACTTCATTACACTTTGTATTTGCAACGTAGATAGACAAAATGAAGTGTCAGACATTTTTAAGAGAAATTTCAAAACATATTTCAATGTGAAAAGCAAAATTACTCAACTTACTTCAAAATTTGCAGGGGAAAAAAAAACACACAACACAATTCAGCATGAAATCACAAGTTTTAAAATGGACTTTTGTAAGGTTATGCTGGAAACTTCTAACACAAATAAAATGTTTTAATAGCATCTCAGTTGCAAACATAACTACTACATTCTCCATGTCAGAAAAGCAGCTACAGCACATACAATATGCTCAAGCTATCACGAGAGGGCAGTGCGGGGCTTTAAAGGAATAAAAGGTGCATCACTATGTCCAATGTGACTTCTAAATCACAAGCAAAGTATGTTTAGATTTAAACCGGTTTCAAACCAGCCAAGAAGTGTTCCAGATGCTACTGAAAGTACTCTTTGTGTTAGGGAAAACAAAAGCAGAGAAACACTGCTGTATTTGTGTTTTAGTCCGTGAGCATGGCACAAAACTCACACTTCTCCAGAGACAGCAGATACTCTCTCCTACCTCCTACAATTAAAAACATCACACGCTAATTTGGACAGACTCAACATCCACCTCACCCACGGCACCAAGGTTTCCTTTATGGTTTTAACTAGGTAAAACTTTTTTTTGCATTTCAAAGGCAAATGAAGAGTTTTGACTTGAAATTTTAGAAAACAGAAAATTTTCAAATTTTTCAGAGTAACTTTTACGTAAAATTTGGTTCAAAACCATGGTCTGCAAGTGTTACACTTCCCCAATGCAGTCTTTAAAGGAATTTCATGCATAAAATCGCAGCCTCTCACATGCTCGTTGTATCCTACCTATCCACCGGCAACTGCCCGGTGCCTCCTCAACCGCGGCGTTACTGCACCCCTAAACTAAAGCTGATGTCAGAAGAGCTCTTCCCAAGCCAGGAGCCAGAGGTGCACGGCACACACCATAATAAAATCAAACGATACACCCCAACATTGCATAATATCCCAGAGGAAAAAAAGAAAGGGGGGGGGAACCACAAACTGAGGGAAAACATATCATTTCACTCCCTTCACCCCGACAGATTAACAACTGCATTTGCAACAGAAATTGTCACCGTCTTAAAACAAGAAGGCCCTTTAACCAACCCCTCTCATCTTCAGGGTGGCCCTGCCCGCAGCGATTTCCAACCTTGCCATACAGAGAAAAAAAAAAAATTGCTATATTTCAGGATCAGCACCTTAAGATAAGAAACATACTTGATCTATACCCAAACGAACAATTTACTACACAAATGTTTTGCAGAAATACCAAGAGAGGAAACAGCATCTCCCATCCCCGAGATGGGTTTTCTCCAAACTACTGAAGAAAAACATTCTTCATCAGGAAAATACAGCTGATCCTGGCGAAGAGTCGGCAGAAAAAGAAAAGTGACTGTTGGAGAAGGGGGACGCAGACTGAGAATAATTCTATTCTTTTTAAAACGGGTCTAGAAATGGCACGGAAGTTCAGCCGAGCGGGAAGCACCGAGTCACGCTCTGCAGCAGCACTGCGCACTGGCTGATCGGGAGTATCTGGCTCAGGGAAAGGAACTTGAATTCTGGCCTGAGGAGGATCTGTGCCAGCACCATCTGCTCCAGGGATGCCTTCCCAGTATGTGCAGCTTTACCCACAACCAGGGGGAAAAAAATAAAAAATAAAAAAAGTAGTCAAAGCCAGGTTTTATCCCATCTTTTCCTCAAGATCACCTCCAGCAATTCCAATTTTTATTCAATGAGCTGGGAGCAAATAGTCAAAATACATGCTCCAACAAGGCAGGGGGGAGGGATGATCGAAAACTACTTCATGCAAAGCTTAATCAATGAATTAAAGGGCCTAACCGCCTCAGTACAAGCAATGTCGCTCGGCACTCTGGAACCCTGTAGTGCAGGGAGGGCAAAGCACAAGACATTTTTCCATGTTTAATCCCATCTCTTTATTCTAAGGAACCTCTTAACACATACCCCAGATAACGTTTGCTGCAACGTATGTTCACCTAACCAAACCGAGCTATTAAAAAAAAAAAAAGTAGCCATGGAGCTGACGGGAAGGGAGAATCGGTTCAACTGCTTCGGTCAGAGCAGCGTCCTGTAGGTGCTTTGCCCCACCAGCCCCAAGGAGCTCGAAACACCCAAGCCCCAGAGAAAGCTTTGGGAGAAAAAGAGTTTCCTTCTCAACTGCTCTGCGCATAGCAGCACTAGTGTATTTACTGCTACCTCCCCCCCAGCTCCCGGTCTCATGGAGGACAAGAGGCCGAAACAGCGGGACAAGCCCAGGGTTGCGGCAGGAGCCCGGCCGCGCTGCAGCTTCCGTGCGGGATTTTCAGGAGACAGCCTCAATAAAACAGCGCGCTCGCCAGCGTCACTGAGGAAGGTTTCACAGCGGAATCCGACTACTGCGAGAACACTGAAAGCATTTCTCATTCACGGCTCTGCCGTGCAGCAGGGTGGATGGGGATGGTATGAACAAACTCTTCTCTCTTCGTTACTGATAGCGAAAAGGATGATTTTGCAGAAAGAGTCTAAGCCCCCTGTTAGTTCTTGAAAAGAAGTATTAAAGTATTTTTCTCAGCTGGGTGCATTCTGTTTCTTTGTAAGAAAGAGTAACAACCTGAAATATTACGAAAACCTTCTCATTTGCAACCAGGGTAAGGCAACACTAGAACTTGTCCCCAGAGGGATGATCCCAGTGGACACAAAGAGGAGAGTTTTTAATTTCAATGACTTCTACATGAGACTTTTCCCTCCAAAACTGATGCGTGCTAAGACACTTTTGTGACTGAAATCCTACACCTGTTGATAGAAGCCTTTGTACAGCACAGAAAAAGACCAAGAAACCCAGCCGAGATCAATGGCTGCTGCTTGCTAAAGGACTTCCAGGACGGGGAATCCTTCCTCCAGGAAAAGGCTTGGGACTTTCAAGTAGTTCCCCGCTGGTCCCCTGCTATTGATCTAGGAGGGGTGGATAATGCCAACTCGTTCTGCTCTGCTTTTGAGTCGGGGGTAACTTTCACTGAAGGTAGTGACTATTACTGGAAATGAACCTGCCTTTAGGCACCAGCGCTGGAGCTAAATACTGTACCTACACGCAGGGGAACGCCTGGAAATGGAAAGCAAACCAGTCCTGCTGCTTTGCTATAAACCCTCCGTTATCAATCCGGATTGGAACAGTAAAAACATGGCAGAATTTATGGCCAAGGACTCGCTTTGTTTATACAGGAACACTAGAAGACCATCTTTAATCCTGCTAAACAAACTTAACATGCTCTCTGGGATTATTATTAACTTAAACTGCCTGGGTTTCTTCAATAAACCAGAATGCGTGCACCTTCAGAGTCCTTTAAAGAAGGCACCAGGTCTGAACGTAAACTCCTACGCAAGTGAAGTATGCCCTGCTACCATATACGTTACACTGTATAGAACTGGCAAAACAACTTTCCAACAACTTGCTGCCTCTCCAAAGGTGCAGTTTTTCACCATCAACCCCCCCGAAAACTCTTACTGGCTCTCTGCCAAATGCCTTGAAACCACACAACCAAAATTCCAAAAGATGAAGGAAAAGGCCCTTTGGAACATATGCCTGTAGCAAAAAAGGAGAAAGTAGGCGTTCAAAACCTGGTAGACAAAACCATTGCATGCAAGCCACAGGCAGCAAAAATAACTTTGTGAGACGACGATACACAGCGTCCACAGCGACTCTGCAAGATTTCACTTGGGTTGTGGTGGAAGGGGCTGAAAAGACACACAGAAATATCCCCCCGCGCGCAGCCTGCAGCCTGCTGCCAACTGAGCGCGGAACATACGCACGTTAGCCTGCTCGCACTGCTGGTGGGCACGCACGCTGGCACCGGTATCGCCCTGCTGAAGGCAAAAGAACCACAGCCATCAAAATTTCACAGAATAAACAAAGCGCTGGTCACAGTTTGAAGCAAGAGGAAATTTCACAGCAGTACCAACTTGGATAGCTACCGAGCTCCCATCCACGGCCATTTGTTCTTCTCCTGTGCCAAATATGATGATATGTGGTGCCACAGTGCAAAATGATCAGGGAGCTGACTGGTTACGTGGCTGTGCTTTAAAACAAGCGTGTAGGCGCAGGGGTAGGACTTTTGGAGCAATAGTGCAAAACCAACGTCTCAAACCACAGCCTCGGCATGCGACAAAACAGTTTCAAACATCTGAAACAGTTATAGGAAAAGTCTTAGTGGATCGAACTTTTCTAGAAGGCACACTTTAACAAATTCTCCTCCTGCAACATGGTCTCTCTTCCCCAAACAGGAGAGCTTGTTAACTCCTGCATAGACTGGAGTTTGTACACGCCAAGAAATGGACTGAGGGTTACTGGTGCTCTTCAGTCAAATTGCCCTTTTATTACA